GTATTGCTGTGTGTGTATTGCTGTGTGTGTATTGCTGTGTGTGTATTGCTGTGTGTGTATTGCTGTGTGTGTATTGCTGTGTGTGTATTGCTGTGTGTGTATTGCTGTGTGTGTATTGCTGTGTGTGTATTGATATGACAATTGAAGTGTAACTCTAAGTGTCAGTGTCCAACTACAAGACTGTCTCTAAAGTATTCTTTTTGCCACTAATCTTTTTCAAGGGTACCGTCTGTCAGACCAGTTCTACCATGTCCTCCTTAATAAATTTGACCGACAAGGACGAGGACAGGTAGCCTTTGATGATTTTATTCAGTGCTGCATTGTCTTGCAGGTAAGCTTGAGATCATTTCATAGCTATCCAGGCTGTTCAGTGATTAGGAAAAAGGTAACTGAATGTGGAAACTTAGGAGTAAATCTGAAGAATAGGATTGAGCTATTAAGATGGAACTCCTGATTTGTAGGTGACGCTAATGGACTAATCATATGATGCATGAATTATCTATCCGTTGGTTATTGTGAACTCTCGTTCAGCAAACCTGGAAGTGATCATAAAAATTAGATTGGTCTGAACACTCAATCTGGAGTGAAATAAAAACAAAGTTACTGGAAAAGCTCAGCAGGTCTGGCAGCATCTGTGGAGGAGAAAACAGAGTTAAAGTTTCAGGTCCGGTGACCCTTCCTCAGAACAGTTCTGAGGAAGAGTCACCGGACCCGAAACGTTAACTGTTTTCTCCTCCAAAGATGCTGCCAGACCTGCTGAGCTTTTCTAGCAACTTTGTTTTTGTTCCTGATTTATAGCATCTGCAGTTCTCTTGGTTTTTATTCTAGAGTGAAATAAGACTGTTTCACATGAATTTTCATTTGAGGTGCCACTGGTATGTACACCAATCGTGTGAAGTACAAAAAAAATCATGAGATTACTTCACCATCCAGTAGAAATACTACCTATGAGCAGACAGCATGGAAACAGACCCTTTGGTCCAACTCGTCCATGGCAACCAGATATTCTAAATTTAATCCCATTTGGCCCAATATCCCTCTCAACCCTTCCTATTTCAAATACCATTCAGATGTCTTTTAAATGTTGTAATTGTACCAGCCTCCACCACTTCCTCTGGCAGCTCATTCCATAAATGCACCACCCTGTGAAAAAGCTGTCCCTTTTAAATCTTTCCCCTCTCACCTTAAACCTATGCCCTCTGGTTCTGGACTCCCCCACCCCAGGGAAAAGACCTTGGCTATTCACCCTATTCATGCTCCTCATGATTTTATAAGCCTTTATAAGGTCACCCCTCAGCCTTTGACACTCCAGCAAAAATACCTCAACCCCTCCAACCCTGGCAACATCCTTGTAAATCTTTTCTGAACCCTTTCAAGTTTCACGGCATCTTTCCCGTAGCAGGGAGTCAGAATCAAATGCAGTATTCCAAAAGTGGCCTAACCAATGTCCCGTACAGCAGCAACATGACCTCCCAACTCCTATACTCAATGCACTGACCAATAAAGGCAAGCATACCAAATGCTGCCTTCGTTATCCTGTCTACCTGGGACTCCACTTCAAGGAACTATGAACTGGTGTTCCAAGGTCTTTGTTCAGCAACATTCCCCAGGACCCTACCTTTAAGTGTATAAATCCTGCCCTGATTTGCCTTTCCAAAATGCAGCATCTGTCATTTAGCTAAATATACTGCATCTGTCACTCCTTGGCCCATTGGTCCATCAGATCAAGGTCCCGTTGTATGGAGGTAACCTTCACTGTCCACGACACCACCAATTTTGCTGTCATTTCCAAACTTACTGGCAATACCTCCTATGTTCACATCTAAATCATTCATATAAAATGACAAAAAGCAGGGGATCTAGCACCGATCCTTGTGGCACACCACTGGTCACAGGCCTTCATTTTGAAAAGCAAACCTCCACCACCACGACCCTCTACCTTCGAGCCAGTTCTGTATCCAAATCGCTAGTTCTCTCTATTTGATGTTATTTAATCTTGCTAACCAGTCTACTACAACGGACCTTGTCAAACGCCTTACTGAAGTCCATGTAGATCACGTCCACTGCTCTGCCTTCTTCAAAAACTCAAGTTAGTGAGACACTATTTCCCACGCACAAAGCCTTTCCAAATACACGTTAATCCTGTCCCTCGGGATCACCTCTAAACAACCTGCCCACCACTGATGTCAGGCTCACCAGCCTACAGTTCCCTGGCTTTAATAGTGGCACCATGTTAGCCAACCTCCAGTCTTCTAACAGCTCATCTGTGACTGACTATGATATAAATACCTCAGCAAGGGGCCCAGCAATCACTTCCCTAGCTTCCCACAGAGATCTAGGGTACACCTGATCTAGTCCTGGGTATTTATCCACCTTCATGCGTTTTAAGACACCCAGCACCACTACCTCTATAATATGGACATTTTAAGATACCGCTATTTATTTCCCCAAGTTCACTATCTTCCATATCCTCCCCTTGAATACCCATGACCCAACAGACCTGTCCAGGCATTTAAACTGTGCAGAAGCCTTTTCAAACTGTGCTTTGTCCAGTCAGCATATTCATCTATCCATCTCCATGTGCTTATCTAGTTCTTCATTTAATACATCCAAGCTATTCCTGCTATCTATTCTCAAATTCTCCTGAATAAGACTAGTGATAAGTTTACAGTGTTCACTGGAATCTGTCCTGCGATGGTCTTATTTATAGCACTGACAAATTGAACATTACTTTCGTATTGCCGTCTCAGTGCTGAGATGGTGCATCCTTGGAACCTTCTAAAGTTTTATGAATTACATTGCTGTGGAACAACTACGACAGGGATATAAAGACTTTCTGAATGGACATTTTGGACCAGGAAAGCAGTACCCAGTTCAATTGTATGATGAATCAGCATTGGGTAGGAGTATTATGATTGGTCACTGCAATGCTTAGGGGAAGGATCAGTCAGGATTTCTATTCCTTATCACTATTCAGCGACCTTTCTATGTGAGATGAAAGCATGATCCCTAACAGTTGACTTGTTTGGCTCTGCACCTTCAGAGGAAAGCTTTGGGAGTCAATTGGTGTAGTTCACTAAATTTTGGTAATGGGATTTCATTTTCTGTTCATAATGATGGCTGAGGATTGGAAGCTTGCTCAGATTAAATCAAAATTCACAGTTGAAACCTTTGCTTTAGGGAAAGGATGAGAATAATCACTTTAACAAAGTTCCTGGCTTTTGTCCCAGCTTGTACTTGAAACACTTAAGGGTAATACTTAAATCTAAATAGTACCAGCTTGAATGTTGAAGATTTATTTTTCTTTGCACAGAGACTGACTGACTTATTCAGGCGATATGATACTGACCAGGATGGCTGGATTCAAATTTCGTATGAACAGTACCTCAACATGGTCTTCACTGTCCTATAAATGTTTAATACTTTATAAACCTTTGACTATAGCCAACTTTTGAGTCAGGTGATTGCTGCAGATTATCATATCACAACTTAGACTTAATTGAGAACACGAAAGTTAAATACTGATGTAAATCTTAAAGGCATAATATGCAAGAAAATGTTGACCAATTTCTTTTTATAAAATGAAGACATTTAACTCCTTTAATATTTGGTAATTGCTTTTTGCATGCAGATGTGCCATACAATATCCTGTTGCATCTGTAACAAATGAGTTGATTAACTATTTTAGATATATAATAGCCAAGCCCATCTAGAGCAGGAAAAGCTTTTAGTTATGCATGGTGCCTTATGAAATTAACTGTAATGATGCATCATTAAGTTAAGTTTAAAGTATTTAGTCCAAACTGAGTAAATCTGTAAACCTAGGCAAGCTGTGCCCTGGTAAATTTAGTTGTTTCATTTTAAATGCCTAACATTCTTTGTAATTTATATTAAACAAAATTATGTTAATAGTTTTGATGAAATTGTAATGGGTATCTGGTTAAAGCATCATGTAATATGCACAGACCTGAGGTTTTTGTACTTAGCAGGGGAAATGCCATTTATGAAACTTGGTCTTGTATACACAATGATCTAAACAAGTAGAAGTGGTGCCAAATATTTGTCTACTGTAACATTTATAATGCTAACAGTAATTCAAAGTGAAATAAATCTTTCTTTTGTTATCTGAATGGATTTTGACAAGAAAATTAATCTTACTTTTTTTCAGACAATCTCCCAACTCCACCTTCCTGGATATGTCTCTTAATTGACTTTCTACCTTTCTTTTAAAAAAAAAAAATCAACACCGACCTAGATTACACCCCTCAACTCTATTCCCCTTTCAGTTTCTCCATCATGCTGATTTGTACCATCTACGTCAGATTCTTTGAAAAGCTTGAGTTATTGCTTGAGAGAGACTAGTAGTAGAAATATCAGGTCATTGTAATGAATGTTGCAAGCTCATGATCCCCATTAAATAGAATTTACTTTTAAAGTAGTTTTTTTACAAATTACAAAACTGATCCTTTTCAGCAACTCGATAAACAACAGTTAGAATGGAGTATATAAAGTCCTGGATGAGCTTCTAATCTACTTCCTCAGTATTGGATTGTATAAGTCATCATTGCTTCCTTTTGAGTGAAAGTCTTCAGATCCATACTTGTTAGCACAGTGACCTTCTGCCCTTTAATGATGGCTACGTTTTCCCCTCCCAAGTCCAAGTACACTGTCTTTACTGCTACTCCTGATATCAGTTAATGGGTTGAGAATTAAACTGGGGACTTCCTGGTTTATAAGGCTGAGGAACTTTATAGGTACCAAATGCTTTTCAGGAGTGCAATTCCTTTCCTTTGAATGTAGCAACTTCATGTTAATCAAAATAAGTCTAAATTTTGTGCAAACGTGATTTGAAATAAGATTCATCCCCCCCACTCCTGTCTGAATTCATAAATAATTCCAAAACATGATTTATGATAACTGGACCATGTATCTGTTGTAGAAAATTTAGTATTACTGTACTTAAGTTGACATTTTCTAATTGACTTGTTCAGTGATGTGCCATATCTATGGAGCAAGGGGGACTTCAACCCTAGAATGCCACTAATTAAAACAAACTGTTAGCCTATGCAGCATCCTTAATTTCCATTCAAAGTAGTAAATAATAATTTACTGAGTTGAGTACTGAAATAAGTTGTTTAAAAAAGCTTTGGTTTATTTCATTTATTTATGGTAATTGTTTAATTCACCACATTCATACTTTTCAACTGTTTATCCATTAATTTTGTATTACATTTAATAGCTAGTGTAGTGTTTTGCATTTTTAAATTAAACATAAAGCAAACATCTAAATAAGGCAGAACTTCATGAACTGAAATGACAAAATTGATTTCTATCCTCCTA